GGGAGGAGGGGGGGGCAGGGAGGGAAGGAGCCCCCGAGGGCTGGGGCGCTTGCTGGGTGCCCTCTGGCAGCGTTACTGTCTCCCCCACGCGTTCCCGGAGAGCCCATGTGCATACCGAGCATTAAATCTGAGGGGTGCCCTGTTTTAGCGCAAACCGTTCGCCTTTTCCTGATGTCCGGCTGCATTCGGCCGGTCCCAGACCAGTAGGAGCGGTCCCACGAAGCTGGGTCGAGAGGACCTGCCCGCGGGCCTTCCTGGTGTCCCCACAGCCCCATTGCTCCTGGCCCTCTCTTACCATCCCGTCGGAGCAGCTGGAAGTGGGGCTGGTCGGTTCGGAACAGCTCTGTCCCGGCAGGTGATAGTAGTTTTCTACCTGTTCCCTCAAGAGCTCCTGGAGGCTCTCGATGTATCTGATGGCGTTTCTCAGGATCTCTACTTTGGGGAGTCTTTGGTTGGGGTTGGCAGTGGTGCATCTCTTCAAGGTCTCAAAAGCCTGGTTCACTTTCTTCAGCCTCCTCCTCTCCCTCATGGTGGCCGCCTTCCGCCGGTCCATTGTGGTGGATTTTCTCTTGCAGGCTTTGCAAGCCCACATGAGGCAGTGCCCGGCCTGATGGTGGCCGGTGGGAGCTCGGACATGCTCCTCTTCCTCGGAGCACGGGGGCTCAGGGGGGTCGTGGGAGCCGAAGGCAGGCAGGTCCCGGGGCTCGAAATCCTCTGGGAACTCGCCCTCTGGGGAGGAGAGGCAAGAGCTGTCATAGAAGAGCTCGGACGGGGAGAACTGGCAGCTGGCCCTCGCCCCTTGCAGCGGGGAGGCAGCCACCGGCTCTCGGCGAGGGGCTCTGCTGGGGCAACTTCCTCAGCAATTAGCGACCTGGGACGAAGTGTCCTTTGGCTGATGCGGGGGGCCCTTATATATACATGTAAAGGGAGGCTGGTCCGCAGCGGCCAGTCTTTATTAGCATATCCCACCACATCCCCTGCCGGGGGCTGTCTGGGCAAGCCCCCTCCAGTCCCCAGGAGACAATTTGCTCCGCACAGCTCCTTTGGAGAGCGGTGAGCTGGGCACTTCTCTCATGAACGACCTCCCCAGAACTGGTTGCGACATCTCCGAAGTCTAAACCAAGTCCGGCAGTTTGCAATTTTGGTATGGAAGGAGAAAAAGGGGCAGTGGACGGGCACGAACCGCTGACATTTCATACAGAGCCGTTCCTCGTCCCCATCTCCCATCACACGCTGCAGCAGGAGGGACACGGGCTCTCCCCACGGGGGAATTAATGCAAAGCCCCCCACCCCTCCCATAGAACCTACAGCGTCTACTGCATCTTTATTCCCCACAGCCCGTGGTTCAGGTCTAACCTGAAACAATTTATCCCTCTTTTCAGACCTAAGTTTTGTTCATTTATCTTGGGGAGTGCTTTGTCCTGTAATTAAAGTTGTGTCACCAGCCGTTTAAATTGTTACAAACTGACAAAAATGCACAGCTACCTGTGGCAAGGAGAGACGAGGAGGAGGGAAACACAGATTTTAGTGCTGTCGGATCGGGTCACAGGGAAAAGTACTCACACAAGAAAAGTGTACGTGTTTGGTCCGACACAAATCCCCTTCCCATTCTTTCTCCTACTCGTGTGACCTGCTGCTGCTAGAGACACAACAGTGCCTTGGGCTTGCTAATTTTCTGCTTTCAGGCAAACTTGTACCGTTACAGATGCGTCCCAGCTGCCAGTGCAACAAACCCCTCCTGGAAGTGTAAAATTTCTAACCCCTCAATCCCTAAGTAACTTTACACAAGTCGAGGACAAAAGCTTTGCAGAGCCCCAGCCGCAGCAGTAGCTGAGCGGAGCGGTGCAAGGGTCATTAGAGTGGTAATGAAGCCATTTAACAGGCATTTGCTAAAGCTCAGGAATCCTTTGGTTTCATCCAGGTGGCTTTTGTAGTTGAGGAAAATATTATGAGAAGGCAAAGGAAACCTTCCCTACCTGGGAATAAAATTATGTGACCTAGGTTAACTCCAAACGGGAGAGCAACTGACCCAGCAGCGGTTCAAACGCTACGGAGCCGGTCTGTGTGCCCAGGAAAAAGGCGTCTTCAATTAACCTCTCTTCAGGAAGAGGTAATGCGGAGGGCATGGCGATCCGGTTGTCTCAAGGAACC